CCCCCCCCGCCCCCGAGGCCTTGCATGGCCTGAAACGCGCAACTTTCTCTCTGCTGTAGGTGCTGTTGTTCTGCTCCGTAGCACAGGTCTGTTAGCAGCGCTTGAGGGGGGCCTCTCCCTAGGTAAGTGCTGTTGGGCTGGGAAGGCAGGTTTTGCTTGGCTAAATCTGAGGCCTCTTCTTGGTGTGAGCAGGTGATGGCTCCTGGAGCCTGGCCAGAAGATGGCGTTGAGGTCTGTGGCTGTGAATTTTGCTTTGGCTTTGTGTTTAAGCTCTAAATTCCAAGTTTTACCTCAAGGCAGCTTTTTCTCGAGGCTTTTTTTCCTCCTTGAGTGGTGAATAGCCTGTCTGTCTAAGCAATGGAAGTGAGATCTGGTGAGCTTTTTCTTAGCTGTGCAGGGAGGTACTCTGGATTACCAGTGACACCTTGCTGCTTCCCTGAACTCATGCAAGTTGCACTGGGAATTTTGAGACTATTGTGTGCACTGATAACGAAAAATTATTCCCAAATGGAGAGAAGTATGTCTTGGCTGCTCCTCTAGGAAGCAGCCTGGGGCAACTGTAATGTAGCTTGTTAAAGTGTGCTATTGTAGCAGAGACAATAAAAACTGACTTCTTTCTACTCATGGGCTTCCCAGAGTGGTCTCATCACCTTGAAGATGGCAACGCTAATTTTCATTGATAAAGAGAATGGTGAAGTTGGTGCTACTAAGAATCAGTTAAGACGGCCTTCAGCATCTTGTGAGTATATGCTGCACTGAGTAAACTAATCAGAGGATGGAGTAAAGACCACAAAATTAAGGCTTTGCTATTTGCTGTTTTGGATGTTAGTACAGTTTTATTCTGCATACCTGTATCTAGCATATCAGTTAATATAAAAGTGAAAATAACTATGTGCTTTCATGGTAGAGAACACTTATGCTTTTAAGTTATAAGCAGAGAACAGTGCTTTTATGACACCTAGTTTTCCAACATATGCACATAGTGAAGCAAACTTTATGCTTGTTATAGAGCCAAAACTTACTTTTTCCCCCCCCCCCCAGCAAAGCTCTTATCTGAAAGAACACAAGTCCATACTCCACTTCCAAAAAAAAAGATCAGTACATCTCCAGCCACATCCCTCTCTGTCAGAAAGGCGCTTGGAAACGTGAACCGAACTCTAGCAGCAACAAGCAAGAAGGAGCAGTTGAAACAGAAGAATCAGCCTTGCACTGCAAAGAAGGTGAGTACAGTACTTCTGCAGGAAAAATAACACAACTTATCTATGTAGGTACAGCTTGAGTAATATTCAAGGGCAGAGAAGTGACTCTGGAGAAGATATAGCCTGATTTCCTGTTTTGCTGACATCCTAAGTAGTAGGAGCTAATACTGGGAACCCAAATGTTCTAGTGTGGTGATCTGTTGCCCCTGTGTATAGTATATCATTACACTAACTCAGTTGAAGCATTTGCCCTTCTGCAGCTTATTTGCACTGAAGGTGTTAGAACTTAGGCATAACTGAGGACTATGTTGCAGGCATTCTGGTCTGTAGATCTATACATCACAGAAAAGCCCCTACTATAGGTCCTAAAAGGAGGAATTACAGTAGCTCAGATGAATAATGTGCCTCTTTCCTTAAGATTACTGAAAAGACTGCTGGATTAGAAAGCTGTGATGCAGTAGCTGAAGAAGCCTATCCAGAAATGGAAAATATGTTTCCCTATGATCCTCTAGGTAAGAAATTATTGATGGAGTTATCAGAATGAACAATCAGGCTCTTGTTTGAATCTTGATTTGTCTCAAGACTTTGGCCAAGCTATTGTGGCAACCAAACTGGCATTGCATTTCTGGCATCCTTCCTTAAACATAAGGATGCTCACTACTTAGGAGTACCCCCTCATTCTTGTTTGAATGTTTCTAACTGCAGTAGCTGCACTCAAGACACGTAGTCTTCTGAGGCCACTACTGTGGTGGCAGGAAGCTGGTTTCAAATACTAAGATATGGTCTCTTAACTTATTAAATGGCATCGAGAAGACAAGCGCTCAGAAGGTCTTAAGCAGTGCTGAAGTGTAGACTTTTCCTAAGTGTATACTTCAGATGGCAATAT